TCACATCTTCGATATTCCCATCATCCAGCGGGGAGCAACAGTCCATCCAGGCCCCCAGATCGACCGGAATGCGACGCAGCAGAGCCAGACTCCAGGATCCAGACAGCAATCGGGAGTGCAGCATCGCCACAGCTCACACAAACCTCCACCAGCAGATGGGCAGGCAGGGAGGCCCGAATTTTCAGCCACAGCTGCCATAAATAAATATGCCCCCAGGGGAGAACATTAGTTCCTACCTGCAGGTTCACATTGCATGGGCACCTGTTTTTATGAATTTTAGTACAAATAAAAACAATGCATGTTAGCAAACAACCCAACGAGTTGGATGGGTTTGCAACCTGTCGTATGTTCTTGCAGAAGCCTACTATCTGTTACCGTAATTAAGGCTGGATCTGTCCGACAGCTATCGTGCAGGTGTACTGAAGACTGGGCTGGTTCATTACAATAAAGAGCTACACTTCCTCCCCACCATTCACAAATGCTCGCATACTGAGTTCTATAAGGTATGGATATTCATTTTTCCAAGAAACTATGAACACAGCTGATATGACACGCCACTCTTTCAGAGGAGACTCAGCACAGCCAGACCCTGGTGTGGCCTCAGAGGGCAAGAGTCTCTGCATCTCAGCCCAGTGAAGAGGACTAAGAGCATAAGTGTTATCTTATCTGCAAAACCCATCGCTGTTAAGTACAACAGGCAAGACAAGCTCGGGCAGGCCTCAGTGAGACTCCCAGACAGACGCCAACCCAGAGCTGGCTGGTGACAAACTGTTTGGCTTCTGACGTCATCCGAGTTGCCAAAGAAGCAAAGACGGAAGCCTGAACAGGACCGTATTTATTAGTTTCCTACAGATTTAACAGTTCGCTTCTTGGAAACCGCAGATGCTTAATAATGTAATTTGCAGTCTAATCTTCAGTTGGATGCACAGTATGACAGACCCAGGTGTGGCTGTTGTGCCTGTCCCTCCTACAGAAGCAGTTCCTCTGTCAGAGGAGGACATCATGGCCCAGCTCGACGTTTCTAGAGAATGCAGACGCAGGCTGTGTTTGTGAGACACAGCCAGCGAGCCCAGCACCAGTGTTAACAGCTCGGAGGAGGCAGTCCAGATATCACCTTGCCAGCAGTTCTCCTCAGCGATCTGCTTCGGGCTCAAGGTCGCACTCAGAACACAGTGGACTGCTCCACTTCCTGTGCGAGGGGGGAGGGGAACTCACTTCCTGCTGAACTGCCCAGTCTCAGGAAGCAACACAGTGGGTCAGCTTTTCACACTGCTGCTCCTTCACACAGTGTCTAGTCCAGAGCCAGAGCTCAGGCCGGTTTCTATGGTATTGAGTTGTCACCTTGCTTAGGGGTGCAGCAGACGTGGCTGTAGTGCAGACTTGAACCAACAGACGCACTGTTACAAGCCCAGAGCCCTAACCACACCCCACCGCCACCACAAATCTGCACATCTCGCCCTCGCAAATAAACACATTCCTGCCATTTCGTATAGAACTATAGCCCAAGACTGAATTACCTTTCACGCTAGCTGAGCTTAGGAGAACAGTAGCACAGGAGGAAGCTCACGTCACCAGTTAGCTTCCACAGTACGCCTGAGCACCAGTGTGCAAAGTGAGAGCTGTCTGGCACAGAGCTCACCCCCAGCACAGGAAAAGGAGGCAGGGCTCCTAGAGATCTTACTGCGAGCTGGGAAAGTTTGCTAGAGTCATATCCCTGCACAGGAACCAGTGGTTCCCAAATCCAGAGAGATTTTAAAGGGAATTAGTAAGGTTGACTACAATGGGTATTGCAGGTTTATTTCAGCAAGTAGAACATAATGACATAAGTGGGTACTAATCCAGCTCTACAACGGTTATTAGGAAATGTTATTAGGAAATTAAATTAGCAAATTCACTAGCAGAATTGCAAGAGGACAGACAAAATACAAGTCTCCACGTGAATCTCACTAACAAGAGCAGACCAGCCCTGTGCTCAGCACCACTGAGCAGAGATCTTACTCAACACTGGGCTCAACTGAGCACCGCAGAGCCCTCAGAGTGGTACCTTGTCCTCCTGACTTCCAGCCCAGCAGGCTGACCACAGTAATGGACACGATGGCTGCTTTGTGCTCCACTGCAGATAGGAACTCTCAAAACCCTTGTCAAAATAAATACCCTCTCTACAGATTTGTCTTTACATTGTATCTCCTTACCTTCACTGGTACTGAAAAATCTAGCAGAAAGAACTCGAGCACCATGGTGTACAGTATGTCCAACATACACTAACAGGACACGCATAGCCAGTTCATCATTGCAAACTAAAATGATTTATGATCAATTCAGTGCTATGATGTGTACTTTATTTAACACACAGCATGGCCCATGTCTTAGCACATACAATACAAATAGTTACCCTGTTCTCAAGACTAAGGAAAGATATCCTTGAATGGTTGGAGCTGAGTGTTTCACATTCTTGTTTACGGTTACTGAGAAAGCTTCTGTCTTTAATTTGCCGACTTATCTCAGTCTCATTTTACAACAAACGAGTTCTAACACATTCCTTTCACTTCTGACACCAGCCATGCCAGAACACTCGGCAGACCCCAGCAGACCCGAGACTGGTATTAAAGCTACAAGCCTGCCGACACTGCACACAACCCTTCCAATGTGCACACAGAGCTATACATTTGAACATGCATTCTAAGACACACAGCAAGCACTGATCATGGAGACAGTTACAGACGAACAGCACAGCGTATTTGCTCAGATGGAGTACAAATGCCCACCATCCTAATTTAACAGCTCAAGCCCTCCGTCGGAATGAGTTAATAACGGATACACATACTCTGGGCACCCTGGGGTTTGGGCAACAGTGCAGCTGGCACTGCCACATGCTTTGTGAGGTGGGGGGGGACTTCAGGGTCTGTAACTGTTCAGCATCCAGGCTCACATAAGTGACTCCTGACTGTATACACAGTGCTGGAAAATACAAAGACGGATGGCACAAGATCAACTCACTTGAAAACACAGTACAGAACGACAATTAAGCTGGGTCAGGTGAGACCTTACTAGCATTCATAATTACTGCTTTGCATTACCCTGAACTCAAGTGTAAGTAATCAGGAGTGCTAGGCTATGATTATGCAGAGTTTGTCCTTTGTTGTTTGTACAGTCAGCTCCAAATGCCACACTAACAATGCTGCTGTAATTGTCATTCTCCACAAACACTTTGATAGGACATGGATCACATGTAGTTATCAAATTAAATTCTGAAAAAAAATGAGCATAGGAAACAGAGCTGTAATTTGTCTGCAATATGAATGATAGCAGATAATCACAGCAAAGGAGGTGACCTAATATCATGGCAGCATCTAAGCAGATTTGCTTAATTGTGGTGATAATTACACCACCCAAACTGTAATTGACCGTGGGTCTGCCTTGTGGGAAGACAGGAGCTGGCAGGGACTTGTGATGCACCAGCAGAGCTCACTACTCCCCACTCAGTAGAGAAGGCCAGGGCTCACCTCCAGCAGGGCCATCCCATACCCAGCAGACTCTCAGTCTGCTGAAGCTGTGGGGCCTGTTCCCAAACCAACAAACCCCTTTTAATTCAGTTAGAGACACGCAGCTCTATCTGTTTCAGCTTTCATTAGCTCGAGGGTCCTGAGCAAGGCATACTGATGAGGCAGGGAACTGGGGTCTTTTATGCCAGAAAAAAAAAGACAATGATTAGGACTCCCACTGGCCAAGGTATCTACCTGGTGCTGTCTTCTGTAGAAGCGAGTTATGTTAAAACGGACTTTACTGAATTCTGCTAAATCCATAATAATAATAATAATAATAATA